TTTTTTTTTTTTTTTTTTTTTTTTTTTCCCTTTTTTGCTTTCTTCTTCTGAAATTTGAGTTCCATTTGTGGACACTATTACGATGTTCACCTTATTAAACTTGCAATCAGGTTGTGTCAATAAGCAAATTGAATCTTCGCTTTTTTCTGAAGATCATACATGATTTCTTTGCTTTTGATCGATTACAATGGTGCTCCATTGAGGGGTATTGGTAGACCTTTTTTTGAAGGTGTCTCGATAGACTTAATTTTGTGTCACATTGTTATAACTCGTGTTGATTTCCTCAAGAGTTTCAGCATCTAACCAGAAAATAGAAAATAGTAGCTCTAAGAGGGAGAAAAATGTTCTTTATGATACTATCAGAACAGTACACCAACGCCAATGAACTTGAAAAACTTTTATTATGTGCTTGTATAGTTTTTTTTATGTGATCTTTTGTGCTTGCATCTTATCCTTCAAGCAGTCTTGTTTGTTCTGAGCTGGTTGTCATCCACAGATGGTAATATATTTCATAGTAATAGGCACATTCTGCCCATTCTGATGTAGCTGTGGTAGATCATTGATATCAGATTCTTTGTTGCTTTTCCATTAGATAGTTAACACAACTACTGTAATGGCCCAATCACACCGCTAGCAGATATTGTTCTTTTTGGAATTTTCCTTTCATGCTTCTCCTCAAGGATTTTAAACCACATATGCTAGAGAGAGGTTTCTCTTGGATGAAAGTCCCACATCAGCTAATTTAGGGGACGAACATGAGTTTATAATCAAGGAATACTATCTCTATTGGTATAAGGCCTTTTGGGGAAGCCCAAATCAAAGTCTTGAGAGCTTATGCTCAAAGTGGACAATATCATACCATTATGGGAAGTCGTGTTCATCTAACAGTTTCCACACCCTTGTGAAGAATTGCTTTGTTCTCCTCCCGGAATGTTGTCACAACTACTTGGGAGGAATTAGGAGGGAAGATTATTAGCAAAAGTTGCCTGGCTATCTGGTGATGACTATGAGATTTGTTTGTTTGAGCCTTTGAGGTTCATCAATTCCTAAGAGAGCACAAGCAAAATTGTTGCTCTGTTTTCCTTTTCTTGCTTTGCCTGGTTTCGTTCTCTATCATCTATGACCTGTTCTTTGAAAGAGAACGAAGGTTCAACTGATTTTCATTTCATTTAATGTAATTTGTAAAGTTCAAATTGGATACTGTTGTTGATGTTTTGAATGTTCTGTAGCTATTTTGTGGTTAGTTTCATTGGACGGCATGCTAATGCATGTTGTAGAATATACTTGTTGCAGCTATATATATATATATATCATCCTATCATCTCCTGTTTCTGTTTCTCTCTACTAAATCCTTTCGGACAGTGATGAAGAAATCTTACTCTTGCATTTGGATTTCTTCTTTCTAATAGAGGGATTGAGGGCTTCCGTCATTGAGTATATATCCTAGTTTTTCACATTTTGTGTGTTATTGGGGAATGGCCGAGGTTGAGGATTATCATTGGGAGGAGTCCCACATTGGCTAATTTAGTGGAAGATCATAGGTTTATAAATGAGAAAACTATCTCCATTGGTATGTGGCCTTTTGGGGAAGCTCAAAGTAGAGCCATGAGAGCTTATGCTCAAAGTGGACAATATCATACCATTGTGGAGATCCGTGATTTCTAACAGTTGACGCTTTGTATAAAGTTCGTATATTTTGTTAAAGTACACGAATGTATGGAGGGTGGGGTGTTTGAACTTCCAACCTCGAAGGAATGAAGGACCCTTAACCATTTAGGGATTGTTTGAGGCGCTGAATTGGCTTATGAAGTCTAAGGTTAGTAAGTTAATAAGTTGTATTTGGGGTACTCAGCAATGGAGACTTAGTTTATGAAGTCTATTTTTGGAACATTGAAGGAGGATGGGCAAATATTTTTACAAAAAGTGCTCGAATTTGAAGTACCGTGGAATTGCTCGAGTCTAGATTAAGGGAGGATGGATGAATATTTTTACAAAAATGTTGGAATTTGACGTATTTGTTAATTTCACAGAAAAGCTCGAGTTGCTCAAGTCTAGATTAAGGGAGGATGGATGGATATTTTTACAAAAATGTTGGAATTTGACGTATTTGTTAATTTCACAGAAAAGCTCGAGTGTAGATTAAGGGAGGATGTACAAATATTTTTTTAGAAAAGTGTTAGAATTTGATGTATTTGTTAATTTTTGAAAAAAAGCTTGGAATTGTTGAAAATATGTATAGAATTTGTCATTCTACAAAGTCAAGCAAAAAACCATTGTATTTAATAATCAAAATTGAATAATTAGTTGGAATTTAAAATATAAAAAGATAAATTTATTCGTTTTTTTTTTTATAATTCTTTTTACCCTATTAATTGGACCACCTACTAGTAGCTACAGGAGTCAACTTGAAGAAAAAGTAAAAATATTACACCATAATAGATTTTTTTTTACTTAAATTAATATATTTTGTTTATTTAATAGCTATTCTCTTAGATTTATTTGGAGACATTTTCATAATTGTTTGGGTGTAATTTGTTTAATTAAAATCATTTTTATTTAAAAATTAATCCAATTTAACTATTTTTGGCGGGAAATTTATGACTAGGTTGATTGGGTTTTACTGTCATTTATTTCCTTGTAAAATGTTAATTTATAAAACATTTATTTATTTATTTTCAAACATTTCCTTAATATGTGCAAAAATAAATAAATAAATAAAATTTAATAAAAATAAAATATATAAGTATATATAATTTTATCGAGAGAAAAAAAAAAGTAAAATTTAAATTGAACAATAATTCGGATGATTGGGTTCTAGTCCCGTGATAATTAATGTGCTCAAGTCTTTTTTATTGGTAAATTTTAATTTTTATTAGGTTTTCTTCCCTTTTTCTCCTATAAATTAAAAGCTTTATAATTTTTTTGTATTTATAGTTTAACAGGTTAATATGTCATAACTATAATCGAAGCGTTTGTTAAATGTTCGAGAATTAAAAAAATAAACAAAATAAAGAAATTATGGATGGTAATTTGTTATATTTTAATTTATCCTAATTCCTTTATACTTTTAAAAGGGTTTACAAATGTGATTGTGACAAGTAGTATCCGTAAAGTATTTTTTAAATTTAAGAATATTATTGACACATTTTTTTTAACCACAGCTCAACCGCTATTTTATTGTATTTGCCGAAGAATGAGGGGAAGGACAAGCAATCTCTGTCTTTACCACATCTGCCCCACCTTTTCTTTTTCTCTTTTTTTTTTCTTCCTATTATTATACTAAAAAACTCATCCATTTATTTATTTATTTATTTATTTATTATTATTATTATTATTAAACACATTCCCAATCCAAATTTACCTTATTGTCCCCCTCATTTTCATAATATTTATTTATTTAATTATGATGACAACTAATTGAAAGGTCACTTAAACAATTGAAGATCCAAATGTCAACAACCAAGTTTAGCCTAAATGCCTCATTCCTTGCCTCCACAGGAAGTAATTTAGCTGCAGAGGATGTTTTTTTTTAATCATAAAAAATTGATTTCTTAAGCTTCACATTGACTAATTCCATGGAGAAAAATCAATAATCGTTGCATTTGATTTTTCTTCGTTCTTAAACTTGTCTTTTTTCTTACCCAATACTTTGAATCCTAAATACCCA